TGTTAATATAAACAACAAAACAATGTATATAATTAAATTTTATTAAATAAAATGTGGAATATTTTACAAATTGCATTACCATCCCAAAGTGTACATAATTTATCAATATAATTAGGACTTAGAAGCTGTTCACATGAGTTTGACTCTGACCCAGCACCCTTGGCTAGCTCCCCTTGCCCGATCACAAGTAAAAAACCTCCAACACCCTCTGACAAATCAGTCCAGATCTGCCCAAGAGGCAGGATTTTCTGGAATATTATTAGCAGTGAAATTGTTGCATATTTTCAAGCATGCATTGTAACCTGATTTTAAAGCCTGTTTGAACATCAGACATTGTGGCAATGGCAAGATGGTCCAGCCATACGAATACAATCTTAAAATATCATAAAAACAATGCAATTTAAGGCCAGGCAGCCCAACTCCTGCGAACAGCCCTTTATTACACATTCGAAGCATCTCTTGAGGCATCAAAGTGCTGTACATGCAGGCACATGGAATTACATACGAGTATGTGACATAAGCCCACCATTGCACAACTTTGTCTGCAACAATGCAAATACAACAAATGCAAATACAATCAAGCTGGAAACGGATTTTATCAGTATTTTGATATATACATTATGGCTCATGTCTAAAAGACACCTGCACTTTCATATTGAAATTGTTCTAATATCATCCAAACAAAACACATCAGAAAACTGTAACATCAGCCAAATGAGCAAATCACTTTTTTAACACAATTTATGGTAAAATGAAGCAACATGTAACAGGATCTGAAACAAAACCAAATCACATATTATTCAAAAGTTGTAAACACTGTGGCATATATGATTTAACAAAATATCGTCGCATTTCTAGTGGTAACTAACTATAAATTAGGCCAATTTAAACTCGACTATGAAGAATATCAAAAACTAAAGGTAATGTTTCAGTTTATAAACCCAGACTTTAGTTTTATAAATATAAACATTATAAACGCTATACGAAGCCAAATATGAAGGCACATTTTGCCCTAAATACTCTGTCAGAGCCTCAGAGGTGTGTTCTAGTACACAATTAATCTTCTCTCACAGTTCAAAACAAACAATAATACTAACTTTCGACAAATTGTGTATAAATCTTATCGAATTTAACCATTTTGCCACAGATTTTGCCAAAAATATTTCTTAGACGGACAAAGTATTAATAATGGACACTCCTTGCATGAAATATTAATTTATCCCAAAGTTTGAATAAATTAATCCAAGATTGCATTATTTGCATAATAATGTACTTGTCATTGACCAATCAGAATACATAGAGGACCGGCCGGTGCCAGGGCCTTTTCCCGCCTTCCCAATGACAAAAAGGGAAAAGCCCTGGGAACGAGTTTGATATAAATATAGATGAAATTTATGACATGACCAGACAATAGCCAGAGCTTCTCGCTCAATTTGTGAATAGTGAGTCTCTACAGGAGTTAATACCCGACTGGCATAACTGACAATACGTGGCGAAGCACTGTGATCTCTAGTGGTAGGATATTAGACCAGTATAGCACCAAGACCAACTTTACGAATTTTGTTGCTTTCTAGTAACTTTTTGTCTAAAAATATGACATTTTTCCTTTTCAACGAAGCTCTAAGTTTCATAAATTACCATTTAATTTGAGAAAAAATCTTAGAATGTAAAGGCGAACAAATTGATTTGAAGACTGAACTGAAATTACCTAACAATTTGTTTTATTTGTATTGAAACTTATTCAGTAGCGTATTCAGTCCGACGATTTAGTTCCGCTATGCAAATATTCTCGTGTTCATTGACTGTGAAAACAATCAATTTTGTAAATGAATAGTGATAATAATTTTGAATTTGCTAACGGGACTAAATTGGCTGGCTATGCCACTGAACTTATTTTATTATGTTTTAATACTGAGTGGAAACAGTTTATCGGCAAAATGTAGATTTGAGTTGGATGAACATTTCAAAACATTTTACGAAGCGTTTCAAGTTAAATTTTACATTAAATTAAAGCTCACAAAATGGAAAATAAAATACCTACAGTAAATATGTCGGAAAGTTATTGTTGTATAGCTAAAAGTACGAATCTTTCAACTATTTTACAGTTTTGTACAAAAAATATAAAATTAAAAATTTAAGAATTAAGAATATCGTGTTGTCATGGCAACACTTGAGCGCGAGCCTGCGTTCAGTGTTGGTCATTTCTGAATACTTCATGTTAATTTAATGTTTGGAAAATATTGGCGAGGGGTTACTGCATGCATGTATTTCTAGTTTTAATATTGCACGCTTTTCTTAACTAGAGCAACATTCCCAAGTGTTTGGATCAGGCCATCCAAACACGGAAAACATAAAGTAATTGTTTTATAAAATAACAACTTTCCGTGTTAAAATTTCACTTTAAAAAACTTTCACTTTAAATTTCCGTGTTTGGATGGCATCCAAAGACAGGTTTCGACCAATCAGAGCACGCGTTATATACATGTTATTTTATAATATTAATTCCGTATTAAGGATGATTTCTCGTGAAATTTGGATAAAACAAACACGTGGTATTTTGATGCTCTTCGTAAGGGTCCTGAAGGGGGGGGGGGGTCCCAATCCCATTTCCCACCTAAAATTTTGGCAAAATCCCAGTCCCAGTTGGATTTTTATTAGAAATCCCAGTCCGAGTTATTGAAATCCCAGTCAACAAAAAACCCTTTATTTATCGTTAGAATAAACAGTTTTAAGACCTTTTAAGCCACCGTGTGTGCAATGAAATTATGAAATATCCGGGGGGGGGGTCGTGCCGAAGGCACAGAAAATTTTTAAATTTGAATCCCGGAAATGGCATTTGCAGCATTCTGAGACACGCATAATCAGAAAACGCAGAATTCCGGGCGCCAGAGTGGGCCTGTTCGCAGGTAGTGCTGTGAATAATATAGTTGACAACAAAAATCATGACCAAAGACACCGAAAACGAATCAAAATTGTATTTCAAAACACTTAAAATGTAGAAAAATTGGGAATCGACTCGCATTACCTCAATCCCATTCCCATTTTTGAGGACTTCATTTCCCATTCCCAGTGGCCAAATCCCAGTCCCAGCAACCCAAATCCCATTTTCCCAGTCTAAAATTAGATCAATCCCAGTTCCCATTTTACCCCTTCAGGGCCCTCCTTCGTGCATCATCGAAATTGTACTTGAAGCATCCTATTACCTATACTAATAGTATGGTTTCTCGTGAAATTTGGATAAAAATGTACTCGTGAGTTTTTCAAAGACCTCAAATACTGTAGCACTCGTTCATGTTATATCCAAATTGCACTCGAAACCATTCTATTACCTATACAAAACGTGCCGCTGTGACGTTATTTGGAGCCGTTATGACGGCCATATTGCCAGTTACAAGTGTATCAATATTCTAATTTTGAAATTTGGCAGAGACGTGCTTATAATGCCGAACTTGCGTGGAAATTAAGGACCGTGTAAAGTAACACATATTTGAACTGATTTTAATTATATTATTGCTCAATTAAACGCAAGAATACATTCAGGTGTACACATCGATCAGTAGAAGGTTGAAATCATATGGGCATGAGTATGGCTACCATCCAAACTTTAGTCAAACAACTGATCATATTTTGTAGAGTAACAACACTAATTCTAGTATGCCAAAGTGTGAGCACTTCAGAACGCAATGAAGGTAAAAATCAAGTGGTTTATAACACACATTTGGTGCAACGGGAGCAACAATTTGTAAAGAAACAAGGTTCACTGACTCCGCCTGATGATATTAAGACAAGTTTGAAACTTAACAGATATCGAGTTAGGAGGAATACTAAACATGAAGAACAGAATGAAACCATATCTGGACACTGTGAAACTCCCGAGTTATCGTGCAATGGCTGTTGTGAAAATGACTCAAATAATTGCTCTCATATAGTGAAAATTTGTTACTGCGATCCTCAGTGTGCATTCTACAACGATTGTTGTGTTGATTACTACAAATACTGCAGAAAGAAAAAACGAAGTTCGTTTGAGGTTAGTGAACAAAGAATTTCCTGTTTAAAACCGAATCATGTATACTTGGATAGCATATATCCAATTTGGATGGTCAATAAGTGTCCGATGAATAGAAAAATTGATGAGATTTCACGAAATTGTGAAATTGATGATAACATAGAGTTGAAAATATCCAATTTACGGAATCTCGTTCCAGTTGTCGGTAAAAATAACGTAATATTCAGGAATAAGTTTTGTGCCCAGTGTAACCGTATTGAGAAGTTTGAATATTCTGTCAAAAGAATAGAATGCTATGTTATACCGCCTTCCTCTTTGTCTCCCACTGAGTTGGACGAATTTGCTTCGAAATACTGTGATATATCAATCTACATGAAACATGGTCAGACTATTAGACGGTGTTATCAAACAGACCTTTGCCCTCCCGCAAAGTCAGAGAGATGCAGTCAAAAATTTGCATATGAATGTGCCACTAAAGAGTATTTGTGTCGAGGGCATAGAATGTCGAATAAAAAATTTAAGGAATGCATATCATCAAAATCAGTATCATTGAAACGAGATTACAACAAAAATATAATTTTGGATGAAGCAGGAATGGCACCACCTCCTTTCAATATTGTGTTTGATGTATCAGAGGGTCGGTCAGTTAGCCATGTGCAAGGAACCAAATGCTATTTTAAGGGAGAATTTTATGATCTATATCTTCAAATATGTCGACCTGCCGTGATCATTTCACCAGTTATTAAGGAAAACCTTGATAGGTATGATGTTGCTGTTTGGTTTCAACCAAGTAAACGTTCTTTCTTGAACGAAACCATTTCCTCTCTCGTACATCTATATTCAATATCGATCGCTCTCAAGTGACTGCATTACAAATGATAGTTTCCATTACTTTGTATGGGATCATTCGTTTTGAACTTGAACTTACAAACGAACAAACTTTGCGTTTAGGAAAAGCCAATTATACCAACGATGCGATGTCTCAATTTGAAAACGACCGAGAATATTCGACAAATAATCTTCCACTTCACAGACTGTTGCTTTTCTCAGCAAAGTTCAACGTGACAGTCGAAGGAATATTTAATGGCATGAAAATGAAAGAAACATTTTCTGTATTCAAAACAACCTCTCGTCAACTCGCTTGTATCCGGAAACAGACATATCCAAAAGGTACCTATACTTCATTACAAAATGGGAAATATTATTATATTAATTCAACTGGTAAAACCTTCCCACGAAAGCAAATGTTCTTCGAAGACGATACGAATAAAAGCATTTCTGTATGTGAGCAGATTGTTTTCTCAAGCTGTGTTGGACGGCGAATCAATCTGACCTCGGAAGAATACGTAAAGTTTGATAATTTGAGCATCTTTTACAACAGAACAAAAACGATTAAAGATTTTGGCGAGTACGAAATCGAAGGTGGGCAAATTTCCATGTGTATTCCTGAAACTTATCCTCAACTAAGTCCTAGTGATTCCCTCGTAATCCAGACATATTTAACTTGGGTTTGTGTTGCTTTATCATTGGTCTTTTTATTTCTGGTTATTCAAACATACGTTCTATTTCCTGAGCTTCGCACCCTTCCTGGTAAAAACCTTCTTAGTTTATCAATGTCGTTATTTCTGGTGCAGTTGCTATGGTTAATTCCTGAACGGTGGTACCCACCCACGCTTTGTTACATAGTAGCTGTTATAAAACATTATTTATATCTGGTATCGTTCGTTTCTATGGCAATTATTGCGTGGTATACGCACTCGGTGTTTGCAAGCAAGGAAGTTCAGAGGCGAAGACCTGAAAAGAAAAAAATTTACAAATACTCAGCGATTGTCTGGGGTCTCCCGGCAATGTTTGTTCTCGTGTGCGCAGTGGTTGACCAGAAAGATATTTACGCAGTTTATATTAATGAGCTGTGGTGTTTGTTTGATAACGTACAAGCGCAAAAATATCTCTTCGTTCTTCCAGTTGGAGTGATCCTGTTATTCAATATCATATTCTTTGGTTTAACTGTATTTCGTATCCAACGTGTTCACTCAGGCACAAGATTAGTCCATCCAGATCAAAGTCATAGAACAATGTTATGGATATACCTAAAGATATCTGCTTTGATGGGATTCGGTTGGTTATTTGGTTTCATAAATCTGCTTGTTGGGAAATCAACTCTTGTCTTCTCGTATTTGTTCGTAATTTTCGCATCCCTACAAGGTGTTTATATCGGTCTTGCGTTTGTGGTGAAGAAACATATTTGGAAAATGTATAAAAAGTTATTGCGAAAAAATCCTGAGAGATTTAAACTTGAGGTCAGTAGTAAATTGCTAGAAAGCTTGAAGACCTGCAAGGAAACAACACTATAATCATGGATATCATATAATATTCTATTAGTTATAGACAATAGGTATTTCATGCATGGGACGCGTGACGTGCAAATTTTAGTTATTTGACCGAAGGTTTGTATATGTTTAGGGGATGAATTAGTCATGCTGACAGCGCGCAGTTAGTAGTTGAGATACGGTACAACGTCCGCGCGTATTTACTGTTTGTATTCAAAAGACTGGAAATAGTATTCTCTTCACGAAGCTCTAGCAAAACGTTTAAAGTAAATGAGTGCTTAATTAAACTCAGCATGTCTTGACACAAGGAAAAACACCCCCAATAATTGCTCATGAGTAATTTACTAATTTCATGTAAATTTCCAGCAGATTTTCAGGTAAATTCAGGTAGTTGTCAGGGCATAAAAAAGGAACCTTGGGTGCTGAATCAGAATTAGAGTTAACAGTCGACCATTTGATTAAGTGAAGACGTTCAGACGCATCGTGGCCTGGGGGGACTTTGCCAAATACCGTTGCTAACGATCAGGAGACTCCAAATTTCAAAATTTTTTCTCAACTGATTTTTTCTAGTCACATTAACTGTAAGTAACACTGTCATATTGAACAGTAGTTATTTTACTTATCTTCATTGTTAGGCACTTAGTACTGAAACATTGAAATATTGGGTAGGAAAGAACAGGTGGGAAATTTGTCGTCGCTGACCAAAAAATTGCGGGCTGAAACAAAGCTTATTGCATTTACATTCAAAACAAAGCAGAAAGTTAGCAAGAAGCTGTTTTAGCTGACGATTTTTTGCTTTCCATTCAACGATTTACAAAATATTGGTTATTCTTTTAAAAGTCGATCATGAATTCTTTGTTTTGGGATGATTGTTTTGTAATCGCGTGATTGGAAGAAGTTAGTATGGCGACGTGAACATGGGAGTAAATACCGTATACGTCGATCTATGGCTTGTTTAAAACCGTAATAAACGAAGAAAGACGTGATTTGAGAATGAAATGTAAGTTGAAATTAAATTTATATGCCTCAAATTTTCCATCCTATGTTTCTTAATGTAACTTCAGCTGTCTAAGTTCAAAATACAAGCTCGCGAAATTTGACACATTTTGAAAATATGTAAAAATAGCTTGATTTTGAACTGTATTTTCTCAAAAATAGCGCGTGGCCTCAATTTCAAATATAGCTAAATGAAAAGAAAAAACTTTTCGGCGTTTGTAGGTATAAAACATATCGTCAGGAAAATAGGGGCTCACAATGTTTTAGTTCAGTCTTTGAGACCCAGTTACTTCGCACGTGTTGTGGTCAAATTTTTGCCAAGAATCAAAGGCCGAAATGT